TCTTTCTTTCTTTTTCTTTCTTTCTCTCTTCCTTTCCTTTCCCCTTTCCCCTTTCCCCTTTCCCCTTTCCCCTTTTCCCTTCCCTTCCCTTCCCTTCCTTGATGGAGTCTTGTTCTGTTGCCCAGGCTGGAGTAGAGTGCCTCGATCTTGACTCACTGCAACCTCTGCCTCCTGAGTTAAAGTGATTCTCCTGCCTTAGACTCCCAAGTAGCTGGAACCACAGGTGCATGCCACCATACCTGTCTAAGTTTTGTATTTTTGGTAGAGATGGGTTTCACCATGTTGGCCAGGGTGGTCTTGAACTTGTGACCTCAAGTGATCCACCCGTCTTGGCCTCCCAAAGTGCTGAAACTGCAGGTGTGAGCCACTGCACCTGGCCACCCCTCTCATTTCTAAGGCGCCTTTTCTCATCCTCACTTTCACTGCTCTCCTTTTCACTGAGAAAATGTCTTCTGATTGCATAGGTGAATGTCCACTAACTCCCACCACTTCTCAACTACTTGCAGCTGACTTCTGCTTTCTGTCTCTCTCCCACTTCTGTAAACAAATTGTCCTTTCCCCAGGGAAAATGTGGCACATATACACCATGGAATATTATGCAGCCATCAAAAACGATGAGTTTGTGTCCTTTGCACAGGGAGGGGAGAGGAGCACTACACACTGGGGTCAGTTGGGGGGAAATAGGGGAGGGACGGTGGGGGGTGGGGAGTTGGGGAGAGATAGCAAGGGGAGAGTTGCCAGATGTAGGTGATGGGGAGGAAAGCAGCAAATCACACTGCCACGTGTGTACCTATGCAACAATCTTGCATGTTCTTCACATGTACCCCAAAACCTAAAATGCAATAAAATAAATAAATGGAGAAAAAAACAACAAAAAACAAAACAAATTGTCCTTTCCCAAGGCCAATCCCTTATTTTGGGTCTTAGATTCCTTTCTCCTTTTGCCTTCCCAAGGACATTGCTCTAATTTTTCTCTTTCTACCACATCAATATTTCTTTCTTTTCTACTGAATCATTGCCCTTAGCATACAAACGTATTGTAAGAGCTCTCATCATTTAAAAAAATCTCATCGCCCTTCATCTTCCTTCAGCCTACTATTTCATTCTTCTGTTCCCCTGGGCATCAAAACCCCAAGAACTGTTTTTCACCTACTGTCCTCAGTTCTCCCTCAATCTCTTTTCAGCTCAATTTTTCTAAATCTGATGTTCCGCATTCTACTCATCCTGCTGGCAGTTTGCAACAATGTTGATGTCTCCCTTCTTCTTAACATACTGTTCTCATTTGGTTTTGCAGACCCCACACTCTCTTGTTTTGCTTACCTCACCATCACTCCTTCTCAGTTTCCGTTGCGGGCTCTTCCTTCTTGTATTGACCTCTAAGCATTAGAGTGCTCTAAGGCACAGTCTCTGCACGTTTCCTCTACTCTTTCCGTCCCCAAGTTCAAGTGCTCTAATCTGCTGCTCTGGCTTTAACTACCATCTACCCCAGTGATTCTCAGCTGAGGGTGATTTTTGCAATGTCTGGAAACACTTTTGGTTGCCACAACTGGGGGAAGGTGTTACTGACACCTAATGGCTGGAGGCAAGGGAAGTTGCTGAATATACTAAAATCCACAGGACCACACTCTACAACAATAAAAAGTATTCAGTCCAAGTGTGCTAAGGATGAGAAACCTGGATCTACCCAGACCTCTTCTCTGAACTCAAATCTTGTTATGTTTAACTTTCTATTCAACATCCTCATTTGCATATTTCTATAACTAAAAAAAAGCATAATCCACGACAGGAAAGTGATGCAGGGAAAGGACAGGGTGCAGATCCAAGGAGAAGAGTTACCAAACTGTTAGTGCTTCAGGAGTCACAAAGGACACAGCCTCTTCATTAGACCACGTGGTTGCCTGACCATGAAAAGAATAAAGGAAGAGGGAATTTACTGATGAGCTCCATCCTAGCTTGCATCTCCACTGGGCAAGCTCCGCTTGGTCCATTGAGCTAATGCCCCCCAGGTTTGCATTGCTCACCTAGGCCTTTTTGCAGTCTTGAGGAATCCAGATTCCACTCCTTGCAGTGCTGTCAGCTTCAGGAGGCAGAACTCTGCTGCCCACAGAGTTGACTTTTCCAGCAGCACCTGCAATGGGGCAAGTGGCCACAGAACAAGACACTGGTGAGCTGGAGAGAATCTGAGGAGAGACCTAAGCTGTCCTATACAGTGACAACTAAGACACACGAGGCCTCAGACCTCAAGGAGCTCACATTCAGGTAGGAGCGAAACTGTTTGGGACACTCCTGCAGCAAATGATATTACCATCCATTTGGTTACTAAGGCCACAAGCCCAGGAGACAGTTCTAAAACGTTTTTTTCCTCACATCCCAAATTCTGCCATCTCTGTTTAAAAAAAGTAATTCTCTCCCAAAAACTCCTTGTAAGCTCATCACTGTCTCCGTAGTTTAAGCCATCCTTTCTTATGCTGCTTAATAACCTCCAACTTTGTGTCTGGTTTCTAGTAGTCAGAATGAGCTTAAAGAAATCATATTACTATACTGATGCATATCTTCCAGTAGGTTCCCATTGTACTCAGAATGAGATGAACGATTCTTACCATAGCCTGAGGGGCCCTGCATGCTCGGGGCTCTGCCTGCCTTTCTGACCTACCTTTCATGACATTCTTTCTTGGTCACTTCTTTCTGGCCATACTGGCCTTCTCATTTCCTGAATATGCTGAGTCTGTTCTTGTCTTGGAACCTTTGCCCTTACATCAGTCCTTTTCATCTTCCTGTTCCTTGCTGTTTTTTCTTGATGTTTTTTGTTGAAATGTTACTTCTGCACAGAAGCCCCTCTTATCTGCAAACCTCTATTTGTCACTTGCTAGCCCTGTTTCTTAATTTCCTTTATCTAACATTATAATGCATATGTGTTTGTTGTCGGCATCTCCCATGAGAATATGAGCTCCATGAGACCTGGGACCTTATATGTCTCCGTTAAAAAACTGTGTCTCCAGTGTGAGGGCAGTGTCTGGCCCATAGCTGGGGCTGGGCAAATATTTGTTGAATGAATCTTCAGACCCTTACCAAAGGAATACTTGCATCAAGAATGCTGAGTTCCAGTTAGGCAGGTGTGGTGGCTTGTGCCCGTTGTTCTTTCAGCTAATTTAGAGGATAAGATGGAAGGATTACTTGAGCCCAGTACTTCAAGGTTGCAGTGAGCTATGATGACACCAAGTACACTCTAGCCTGAGCAACAGAATGAGACTCTGTCTCAAAGAAGAAAAAGGAGGAGGAGGAGAAGTTCCTAGCTCACAATTTTCTTCCAATCCCTTGGAGTCCAGTCCTGATGTAAACACATCTATCAGAGATGTTGAAGATTTCCTAATATGCCCACCAAGAAAACCCTGAATTTAGGAACCTGGTATCCCATCCAGTCTGTGAATCCATTCTAGTAAGGCAGTCTCCAAATGCTGAGTCAGGACACCTGCATTCACATGAAGCTTTAAATGTCTTAGGGACTTTTAAAGGAAGGCAGTGGGTTGTAAGAAGAGGTACAAGAGCAGGACAGAGAAAGAGGAGAATAGTGCTCAGTAGCTCCGTAGTGCTAGGATATGGTCGGAAAACCCTTGTCTAGTAGGGTTATCCCCAATAGGATTTTAACTGCAGCAGCAGCGGCAGCAACAAAACCAAGAGACTTGACAATACTTCAGCCAGGAGCTTCATATTTACATCTTTGTTTTTAGTTTTAAAAGTTTTAAGAAGATTATTTATTTGCACTAGAGCAGCAGTGCAGAAAGGTAGGGATCCCTGGAGCTATTGAGATTGAGGGATATGCGTGTGGAAGGTGGAAAAAGGGCCGAGTTTAATGTGGGAAGGAGGAGTATACGAGAAGTTATTGTTCATGAAAGAAAAGCTGGGGTATGGATCTGAAGGAGGGGAGGGAACGTATACTTTTGTTTTCCTGAAAGGAATACTGGCGTCTGAATCTGGAGGAAGAATTTAACTAGTTCCAGACAGGGACTGTTGCACTGCCCGGGCATTCCCGCAGAGGCCCCGGCTTTCCACTAGCCACAATAGAGCAGGGAGGAGGCAATCATTGGCTTTGATTAAGGAGGTGGGTGGTGTAGGCGGGAGGCAACGCGAATCGCGGTGGTGAGAAGGGTGGTCCCAAGGCCGCGGGAGAAGCCAATCAGCCGCGACTCTGGGCTCTTGCAACCTCCTTGGAGACTCCGCAGCCCTGGAAGTACCAAGCTGCCTGCTGCCTTTTCTCGCGCTGCAGGCGCGGAGACGCAGCGCCTCTGGGGGCGCAGCTCCAGCCGCACTCACAGGGCACGGCGCACGCCCCCGGCTCCTGCTGCCATGCGCCTCTGCGGGGGACCCTTTCCGAATAAATTGCAAGCTTTGGAAGTGGCCCCGTGGAGGCACTAGGCTGGGGAAAGAGGCTGCGGGAGGAGGGACATAGGGTGGGAGGTGAGTAGGCGACTTGCTTCTCAGATTATCCCCAATTAGCACCAAGTTGGCAGACAACCCCACAAACCCACGAGGCCTTTGGTCCCCCACAAGTCACATTCTCTGTATTTCAGAATAATCGGATCGTAAGAAAACTTCAAGTCCCATCGTAGGTTAAAGAGGGACAGGCTCTTAGCACCGCTGCCGCCCAGTGAAACTACATGGAACGAACCCATGGATCCTTAACTGCACAGCTCTGCCCAAAGTCTGCAGCTCTGCGAGGCCAGTCGGCGGGGGGAGGCTGGGTGGACCCCGCAGAGCAAGGGCCTCCTTGGGGGAAGAGCAGGATGGGGCGCAGAGCAGTGCGATCGAAGAGGGTTACTGTGGGACTGCACAAAAGCAAACCCATCGGAGGAGTTTTGCCAGAAACACCACCGCCTGCATTGCGTCGGACCTGACCATTTCCAATGTGAAATTCCCGGGGAAGGTCGCGCGCCGCTAGGGGCCGTGCGTGGGCGGGGCGGTGGGCCACAGGGGAAGTAGAGTTAGTGGTCGGCTTTTCTGGTAGGAGAGGAAAAAGCTGTGCTGGCGAGGGTGGGAACTGAATGACAACCCCGCTCTCTTGCAAACCACCCCCTCATATTTTCCATCCACCTCCTCGCTCCCGCCCTCCCCCGCCCTCCCCAACCCACGCCCGGGTGGGCCAATCGCTGCTCGGTATTCCAGGCGCTTTCTCAGGTTTCTGCTGATCTTGCAGCGCCCAGAAATGGACCGAGCGGACCCGCCGCCGCAGGCACTCTGCCTGACTCCAAGCTCCTAAGGGCTCCCGGCGCGCCGCGTAGCCTCGGGGAGGTCCGCGCAGGGGTGCAGAGAGCGAAGGGAACTGGAGAGCTATGTAGATCCAGGCTCCTGCCCGCCCGGCTCCTTCGGGATCGAATCAAGGGCTCCCATAGTGTTAGGAGGGGGCGAGAGTGCTGTTTATCGTCATTTGCCTCGGAGCTTCGGGAGAGGGTGGTATTTTGCTTTTCCGCCCCGCATCCTCCGGAACTCCCTGCACTGGAGAGAGGACGGCGTCTCCAGGTTGCTGGCAACCAGTGAGAATGGGGGTAGGAAATGAACATTTTCGCCGTTGCTGCTCCGTAACGCGATTGTCCAACTGAGAGGGGCGTCGGACGAGCGGACCAGGGCTGCTAGTTTGCCCGGCGCGTCTCGGATGCTGGCTGCGGTGGCCGCCGGGGCTCCCGCCAGGGCACTGCAAAGGCGACCTGCCGCATTCCCACGCGGGCTCTCCGCGGACTCAGCACCGCCCCTGCGCCAAGCCGGCCGGCCAGGTAGGGGGTTCCCCAGCTCCGGGCTGCAGAAGCGGGGGTTGGGGCGACGGGGCGTGGGAGGCCGGGGGTTAGGGGATGCTGCCCGGGACCCGGAGCTTCCCCCGGCGTCTCTCGGCGCTTTTCCGATCTCTAGTTTAATGAAGTTGTAAACAGATCGGCTGTTGGGCATTGGGGAAAGTGGGATGGAAGAGCCCCAAACTTGGATTTCCGGGTGTCTGCGTGTCTGTCTGTCCGTGTGTGTGATAACCCTAGCAAACGTCCAGTGCTTTCTCAAGCTAGAGGTCTGTGTTCTTCGGTGTCTGTAGGTCCGTCCCATCGGAATGCTTCTGATTTTCTACCCCCGTATCACTTTCTATTTCTCTGCAGCGTCCATCGATCGCCCTGGTGGGAGCTTAGAAGGCGGCAGGCGAAGAGGGGTAGGAGGGGGGAGAGCCGAGGAGAAGCAGAGAGGGTGGCAGGCGTGGGGATCTGCTGAGCCGGCACTGCACCGGGTCCTAGGAAGGCTCTCGGAGGGGAGGGGAGGCCAGGGCGACCCCCGAAGCGATGGCCTGGTCCGCTAGAACAGCACTGCGTTAAGTCACCTCGGATCAGTAAAAAATATCTTTAAAAAGAAAAAAAAAGCAAAAACACAAGCGCAGAGTTACTCACCAGTTAAA